CTGGGGGGTCTGGCTGGGGGGTCTGGCTGGGGGGTCTGCGCTGGGGGGTCTATACCCACAGGGGTCTACACCTGTGGGTTGTCTGTACCCGTGGGGATCTATACTCGGGGTGCAGGGAAGGTTGCAGGGTGGGAGCAGGGACACCAGCTGACCCCCTTCTGAGAAAGCCGAGTGAATTAAATTCTGAGCTGGCAGGGTGGGGCCCCAGGCAGGCAGGTGGCTCCTAAGCCTTGTTTTAGCAGCCTGCTCACGGGTCCTCGCTAGGTGCCCTGCCCAGACGGAGGCCTCCATCCTGACGGGCGATTGTGCCATGTTTCCTGGAAGGGGGGTGGTCAGGGCCCCCCACATGTGCAGATAAGGAAAGAAGCTGATGCAGAGTGACCAGGGTCTCGTCAGCAACTATGCACCCTCACCCTGCCCTCACCCTCGCCTCTCGGAGGCGTCAGGCTCACGAGCCCCACAGCAGAAGCGGCACCGGGCAGCCCACCCGTGACGCTGCTCCCCTCCGCTCTGCCACAGCAGCCCCCCGCACAAGCCTTTGGGGAGCCAGCCCGGAAGCTCCCCATTCCGTGTTTGCACAAGCCTAGCACAGCTGTGTCTGGACGCCATCATGCCTTCTTGCTAAGTCCGTGCACCAGGAGCAGAACCTCTGCAGAGACCCTTGGGTCCCTAAGGCCTCTCAGCGGGCTCCAGAGGGCCTGAGAGAGCCTGGCGTGGAGCCCGAGGCGGCGCCCGCCCAGCGGGTCCCCACCAGGGCCACCGCCGCAGGCAGAGCCGGGGCCTGCCGGGATCTCGGGTCCCCAGCGTCCCCACCCAGGGGCTGCAGCGACAGCTCCCCGCCTCTCCCGCCTCTCCCGCCCCTCCCCACAATCCTGTCCATGGCTTCTCCACGGGCCTTCTGCTGAGCCTTAGTCCTGCAGGAAAAAATTACGTGGTTTGAAGTGAGGCAAACTGGCTGAGTCAAACCACCTTGTTTTCCAGCTGGAGAGCTGGGCCCCGGCGCAGTGACCTGACCAGGGGCGCTAGCTGCTCGGTGGCCAAGCCAGGGCAGAGAGACGACCCTAGTGCTGTCCACCACACTGACCGCCCACAGGCCTGGCCTTTCCGGGGGGTGAGAAGCCAGACCCCCGGCTGTGCGCTGCCTGCCCGCAGGGCCAGGGCCGGGTCTGGGGCGCTGCCGTGGCGCTCACGGAAGAAGCTGTGTTCTTCTCGTTCCTCTGCAGAGTGGAGAGCCCGCTCGAGACCTCCAGCAGCGTGGTCGTCCCCAGCTCGGAGCCGCAGGCGATGAGACACCCATTGTCCTGCACCCGGAGGCAGAAGAGGGCCTCGTCACACACCTGCAGGGGCCGGGGCGGCTCAGTGAGGGGCCGTGTGTCAGACCCCAGCCCGGGGAGGCCTCCCAGGGCTCCGCCCAGGTGTCCTGGTGACTCCCCCTGACCCGAGGATGAAGTTCAGGCTCTGAGACGGGTCCTCAGGACCCTGGGCCCCCAGCTTACTCCACCCCACCCCATGGCACCCACTCCGTGCGTCCGGCAGTTACCCAGACCCCAGCCGGCGGGCTCGGCCTGGCCACGCTGACATGCTATCAGCGGGAGGAGCAGGCCTGGGGGGCGCGGGGGGCGGGGCGAGGGCAGGCACCTGGTTTTGCTTTTTTATTCACTGTCCCCCAGGTGAGTCCACTAGGCCCCTGGGGCCTGAGGGCCTAGAAGCAACAGGGGCCGCGTGGAGGACATGACCTTCAGGCTGAGGGCCGGGTCACACTGTTTGAACACTAAGTCCCAGATGTCCAGGGTCCCGTCCATCTTGGTCGTAAAGAAAACTGCTGGCCTCACGGGGCTCCAGGCGGCGTCGGTGAGGTAAGCCATGTGGTACCTGCGTGGAGCCGGACCCACAGGCGGGGCCCGCTGTGGTGGGGGGCTGCAAGGATGCCCCCCTGCTGCCGTCCAGCTGTGCCAGCCTCCCGCCCACCCCCCGACTCCCAGGAGGCCCCGAAGGGCCCCCACGGGCTGACCGCCGGTGCTCCCCACGGCTAGCTCCAGGGAACGGGCACGGGTTGGGGACCTGGGCCCAGCCCCCCGCCACGGGCCTCCCTGAGAGGACTCAGGTTCGCACTGTGCGGCCTGCGTGCTTGAGATTAGACGCGCACAGCTTTCCGCAGGAAAGAAAGAAACTGGCCCCCATCTTACGCCATATACGAAAGCCAAACTGAGTGGATTAAAGACTCGAAAGCGTGAGCCGAATCTGTCAAAGCCCTGGGGGAAACGCCACGCGTCTTGGCAGTGCCCTTTGGCTTGGACGCCAAACGCATAGGCGAGGGAGGCAAAAGTGGACACGCCGGAGGACACCAAGCTAAAAGCTCCCGCCCAGCCCGGGGAAGCCAAGAACAGGCCGGCACAGCCCGACGGGAGCGCAGGTCCAGCCCGCGTCTCCCCGGGGTTCACACCCAGGCAGGGAAGCAGCTGACAGCACTCAGCTGGAAAGAGCAATTAAAGATGGGCAAAGGAGGCCCCCCGGGGCGCACCGCGTTAAAGGGCAGGATACGAGGCCGCCTGCAGCCACGCCAGCACCAGCTCGGTCCCGGCCAGGGAGGGACGCACAGGGCGCGGCGGACCTCTCTTGTCTCCCCGCCGCCCCTCAGCAGGGGGCTTCGTCGACCTGCCTGTTCTGCTCCCCACTCTGTCTGGTGAATCCTCTCACCCACCACACCTCTGGCCTGTACCCCAGTTCTGTCTGCATAAATACACAAATCTTTAAAAAAACAAAAAACAAAACAGCTCTTCCCAGGAGTCCCTGCAGCCAGGTCTGGCACCACGGACTGAAGCTGCCAGTCAGTCACAGGGTCCTGGCACTGCAGGGGCCAGCGCCCTCCACGTGGGCTGGGAGGACCCCCAGATTCACAGGGGCGCAGGCCAAGAAAGCCCCCTCTGCCCCACGCCTTAGTCCCACCAGGGTCTGCTGCGGGGGCTTGGTCTCCCCTTCCCCCTCAACCCCCCTCCCGCCCCTTCGCCCCCTCCCCGGCTCCCTCGGTCTCCCTCTGTGCACACCAGGAGCCCCCCTGGCCGCTCTGAGCCAGGCTGGCGCTCACAGTGGGGCGTGGCTGCTTGCTGCTCCCACCGCTGCCAGGGTGGGGCCTGGGCGGGCGGCCCATCGCCCAGCTTCTGGCTCCTCCAGGCTCCTCCTTGGCTCCCCAACTCTCCACTCCCTGGCCTAGCAGAGGGCACCGCTCACCTACGCCGGGGGTCTCTGGGGGACTGGTGACCAACCCGGGCAGACTGAGCGTGTTCCTGGGGTGGCTGGGTCCAGCCAGTGCCCAGCGGACACGCGGGGCTTGTGGAGGGCGTCGCCTCCATTTTAGGGGCAGACGCACGGAGCCTCAGGGCGCCCCGACCCGACCTCCCCCGTACTTGGTCCACATGATGGACGACTCCCGGCTGTCTTCCGACCAGATGCGGGCGGTCCAGTCGCCGACGGTCAGGAAGTTCTTGGGGTAGAAGGGGTTCCTCTGGAGGGCGTAGATGGGGCCGTGGTGCCCCGAGAAGGTGCACACGATCTTCTCAGCCTGCGTCTTGGCCTTGCGGTTGCAGGAGATGACGATGCCCTGCTCGGTGCCCACCATGAACTTGGTTGGCTGCAGAGGGTGAGACAGGAGCGGAGGGAAACTCCAGGACAGGGCACTCAGGGCTTGGCCGGCAGCAGGCACGGCCTGCCGGGTCGGCGAGACCAGGGGCTTGCGAGGGCGCTGGAAGGGCCTTGGGGGTGAGCCTCGGGCTGCGTCCGCCCCTCCGAGGAAGCGCCCTGCCCGTAAGCCCCTTCGGCCCCACCCTTCCTGGAGCCTGACCATGGAGCCCATCTCAAGGGCGCCCCCAGGGTCCCCCCGCTGCCCACCCCTGCAGCACATTGCTCACACTCGGTGCTCTGCCATAGACGCTTGTGACAGATAGAGCCCACAGGCCCGGAGAAGACACCCAGGGTGACCCAGGTCACTCAGCAGCCTGGGCGGAGCCTGGGACGCCCCGCGCCGTCGTCCCGAGGAGACCGAGCAGGTGGCTACCCGGCTCGCAGGGGCCCGCCGGCCGCTGCGATGTGACTGTCCCCCCACCAGGCCGGGTGGTCCCTGAGGGAAGACTCTGCTCTGACTTCATCCTGTGCCCCCATGGCAGCCGCAGTGCCATGTAGATCACAGAACAGAGCCGCCTCCCGCGGGGGGCTGGTCCACCGGCCTCCCCGGTCACCCCAAGTCCACGCCGCCCCCTCCCGGCCAGACTAGACGCCTCTGTGGCAGCACCAGCCTGTGGGGTGCTGTGCCCTCAGGCCCCCAGGGGAAGAGGGGCTGCACCGGGGAGGGCTGGGCCTCGGTGTCCCTGCAGCTCCAGCTGGCGAGTCCCCGGGAAGAAACAGGGGTGCCTGCCAGCCAGTCCAGGAGGCTAACACCCCGGACTGGAACGGCCCCTGCGCCTCTGGCCTCGAACTTGGGGTGTCGGGTGGAGGGCTGGCCTTGGAGTCGGCCGCCCCTCCTAGGTGTGTTCCCCTTAACCCAGCCGGCAGCCTGGCAGTGACCGCCGGGAGGAGCGGCCTCCTTCCGCACGCGGCTCTGCTGCCCCCTGCTGGAACGCTGCTGTAAAGACCTCACCCAGCTGGGCTGACCAGTGCTGGGCCTGGCCTCCGGGAGGAAGCCGCAGGTGCCCACGGCACACTAGCCAAGCCTGACCTTGGCTCCTGCCAGCGGGCAGTGAAGGTCAGGGAGAGCAGGAGAAGACACTCACCAAAGTGGACTCGAACTCCAGAGAGATGGCCCCCAAGGCATTTTCCAGCTGCTCCTTCCTGGTGATGTCCAAAATCACCACCTCGGTGGGCTCGCTCAGCTTCCGGATGTCCCACCACATGACCTGCGGGGGAGGGGTGACTCAGGACCCAGGGCCCGGACTCGCCTGGCCTTCTCCTCCCCACTGTCCCCTGAGCGGGCCGGAGCCCGGGGCCGGGATGGGCGTGTGCACAACGTCACGTGTTGCTGCAACCTATTTACAGATGTGCACCTCGTCCCGCTTTTCAACTACAAATGAGAAAAAAATCCACTTAAAGAAATTGTGGCATGCCCACATGACGCACTGAAGCTCCCGGACCCGCTAATGGAGGCGTCGAGATCGATGCATCGGGCTGCAAGAGCTCAGGGCAGACGCCAGCTTCCGGGTGCGGGCGACCCTGATGGCAGACGCCAGTGACCGCTGTGGGTGGGCACCCGGGGCTTGGAAGCTGTGGACAGAGGTGGGCGTGGCCGCTGCCCTGCCTGCCTGGTGCCCTGGGTAGCTAACACCTACTAGTCACCATAAAAATAAAATGCAGAGGGACCCTGGTGGTGCAAGGGGTGAGTGTCAGCACGGTGAAGCTGGCCGCAGCTGCAGCACGAGCTCCATCCCCGGCCAGGGAGGGACCCCCAGGGCACAGCGGACTTTGCCTGTCTCCTCGCTGCTCCCCTCAACAGTGTACTTTGTTGACCTGCCTGTTCTGCTCCCCGCTCTGTCTCTGGGGAGTCCTTCACCAGTTCTCGTGTGCAGAAATAAATGAATCTTGTTTTAAAAAAATGAAATGCAGAAGGAACTATTTGCAGATGACCTGGTGGGGGGCGGCCGTGCTCCCCTCGCCCCTCGGCCCCGGCGGCTGAGTACCTGCCCGTCTGTGGATGCAGAGAAACACTCGGTGCCTGTCTTGGACTGCAGCCAGATGGTGCCGTACACTGGGTCTCGGTGGCTGAACTCAACGGTGGACAGCTCGGCCACCAGGCTGCCCTTCCTGGTGTCCCAACAAGCTGGCGGGATGAAAATGAGGTGGAGCTGAATGGGCAGGGATGTGGTTTGACAGCCTCAGGGCTGGGATGGAGCCAGTGCAAGGTGCCCCCCGGCCCAGAGCTGGCAGGAAGACACCAGCGTGCACACTTCACTGCTTCCTGTGCTCTGCGTGCCCCACCAGCCCTGGGGAGCCGCTGGGCATGGTAGGGAAGGCTTCCTGGAGGCAGTGGGGGGGGGGACTAGGATTGAAGATGAGCCCAGGGTGGCGAGCCAGGCCGAGGGAAGCCTCCACCACAGGGAGAAACACGCGCTGGAGAAAGAAGAGCATTCAGGCAGATCTCTGCTGATAGCTCATCCCTTCCATCCCGCCTCTGATGGGAAAGAAACTCACAGAGGAGGTTTTACCCTGTGCTCCAACCCATTACCGGTGCTTTTCTCTTCTGCTTTAACAGCTAAGACTCACAGCTTATCTGTTCTTGTTATGATAGATTTTTTTTTTTTTTTTTTCATTTCCCTGCAGCACCCACCCAGGGCTGTTTCTAGGAAAGCCGATCTATAAGGCAACAAAAATACTCAGTCTGCAGCACTTGCCACGGGGCCAGCATGGTGCAGAAATGGGTTTTCCTAGCGCAATGAGCACTGCTGAGACAAAACAGTGCCCCCTGCGGGCGGGGGGGCACCCCCTCGCCACCCCCTGGCCCCCAGGGCCTGACAGCCCCACAGGGCTCATGAATAATGAGTGAGGCGGGCTGGGAGGCTCCAGCCCATCCTGCAACGTGGCTCTGCCTTAGCCCTGTGAGCGCTGGCGCCCAGAGAACTTGGCAGGGAGGTTTGTGGGAACCCACGTCTGTTCCCTAACCGCGCAGTGACCCCCGGGGAGAGCAGGCTGACCACGGGGAGTTTCCCAGCAGCTTCGCAGCCTCCTGGCTCCCCTCCCGGAGGAGCAAGCAGGCACCTCCTCACACCAGGTCGAGCCTGGCCTGGGGGTGGCCAGGAGGGCGGGGTCTGCTGCCCCGAGACACAGGTGGGGAGCGGGCTGCCCCGGTGGGCAGTTTCTTTCCCAACACATTAGAGATCTCAAAGCCGGTTTTCTGGGTCTGTACCAGCATAAGGGCCTCTGAAGCAGCTTGTCAGAATCTACTTTTTCACTACTGGAAATTTGCCAAAGGCTTGCAGCAATCAGGAGAGAGTTTATTGAGAGAAACAGCTGAGTCTCCATCAGCGTGGAGAGTTTTGTTGCATTTTTACAAGCCCGCACTCCCCAGTTCCCTGGTAGCCTTGAAAAGCCATCACATTCCTGGTGAACACCCCGGCAGCCCAAGGCGGGGGCTGAGGGGGCTGGATCTGTCCAAGTCTCATATTCCCACAACTGCCGCGACTTGACCTGACGCGGGAGCTGGAGGTCCGGCCTGAGAGGCTGTCTCTCCCGACTGACCTGGCGCTTGCCCAGCAAAGAAGTCTTTTTACTGAGCTCCCGGTACCCTGTCCTTGATGGCGAACTTGGCCCTGGCAGGTGGCTCTGGCCAGACAGCAGCAGGAGCAGGCTGCCCCCGAGTCCCCTTGGGGCGGAGGGAACTGGCGGCCCCGGCTCAGCACCCAGGCCTCTCCTTACCCATCTGCCCATTGTAGCAGCCTCCCAACAGCACGTGGGAATCTTTGGGGTTGTACTCCAAGGTGACGAGAGGAGAAGACGGTTTCAGGACAATTTCAGGCTTGTTGGGGTTTTCTGTAGAGCAGAAAACAACAGTTGTAAAGGTTTCTAACTATCCCATCTATCCATCCACCACCCATCCATCATCCATCACCCATCCATCCATCCATCCATACACCCATCATCCATCCACCCAGCCATCCATCCATCCATCCATCATTCATCCATCCATCCATCCATCATCCACCCATCCATCCATCCATCCATCCATCCACCCATCCATCCATCCATCCACCCATCCATCCATCCACCCATCATTCATCCATCCATCCATCCATCATCCACCCATCCATC